ATCGGAGGATGCCGAACTTCAGGTCAACCCAAGACAACCACCCAATACCTATTCGAAATTCTGCTAGATTTCTCGGTCTACTTTTTTAGAAAGACCTACTTAATTAGAAAGACCACATTTGTCAGTTCAAGAATAAATGTTAAAACACCTAATTTACTAAAGTGCATTTCTGGAAATAAATGGGGAACTGATAAAAAGTCTTTGCTAATGATATATAAAGCCCTGATTAAGTCTAAACTAAATTATGGGTCAATCATGTATGGTTCGTCATCAGACTCAAGTTTGAAAGGTTTGGATATTGTGCAGAATGCGTGTGCGTAGGTGTCTTAGAGCCCTGGGGCCGGATTCTCAAACGCGTTAAGGCGCCACATCTCCTTAAGGCGCCTAAACTTAAGGCTCTTTTGAGAATCCGGCCCCTGAAATGCACATGGACTGGAGTCTTCTCCTCGAATTCAGACGCGGCCAGCTGGCGCTCACCTATGCCGCAACGGTGGCTTGAGACCCGAGCCACCTTAGTGGTAATGGCGGCATTAGGCCCTTTACCACATGACTCCACGAACTCATCCGAAAAGTCGGTATAGATCTCTCTCCCATCGATACCCTTGTTCAGACAAAGAAAGCGCCATAGGAAACCACCAATTTCACCATCATCGAAGCTTGGCTTCCATCAACCAAGGTCATGGCGCCGGAGGTGGAGGTACGCCAGAGGTTCAGAGAGATCCAAGACAGAGCAATGCGTGGGTGCGGGTGTATGGTCGAGTGAATGCGAATTCAGTTTCAGACTGCCGAATCATACATCGATCTTTATTGCAAAAATACATCCCCTGTGGCAAAGTGAATAGACCAACCTATACATCAACAAAATTAAACATTCAATAGAACTGTGGGGCATAGCCCACAGGAAGAACAGACAAGAGGTGGTGTTGGCCCGACAAAGGAGCCAATGCTACCCGACTAAAACACCTCACTCCTTAGTTAAAAAAGATTCCCTCCACAAAGCCCTCACTGCACACTATACCAAACAAAAAGGCACATATTAATAACTTTCCACAATTACAATAACAGCAAACAACCATTTAGAACTATTCCAGAATGAGAAATATCAATTTCACTTTATCAAATATATTATCAGTTGACGAAAAAATAATAAGTAATCACTTTTCTAAGGGAGACAAAACTTTATGACCTTACCTAGATTGTAAGAATGAACAAGGTCATTGGCTTAATACCCTTGGCCATATGCTGCTGGTTAATAGCCGAGAAAAAAAAATCACTTTGGTCCTTGGCAGTGGGATTTTTTCAGTATGTTGTGCCCTCGAATGGATTTACTCCACGCTTCATGCCAAGCAATTTTGGTGGTGTGTAGGAGACAACTGGTATCTTTTGGACTTTAGCGTGTGACATACTGTATTACTATCTGCAGGGTGCATTTTCTTTTGTGAAGTCCCACCGCAGTACTTTTCATTTCCAAGTATTAGAGAGCATTAGAAGGACAAGGACCAAGTGAATTAAAGAAACGCTGCAAGAGGATCCGTACCTTCCAGTATTTTTACAACTAAGTTAATGCTTAGTTTTCTTGGTTATTTTATCTATAAAGGTTTCTGTGTGTTTGTCTTGTTTCGTCTAATGCGTCTTGTTGATTTCTGCTTGACCTTGTGGGTGCTCAGTCAGTCTTTGTGATCCGTGTCACCTGAGAAACTTGAACTTGCCATCATAACATTTTTACATTTCGTTGTAAGTTTATGTGGTGTTGGTTTCATGTGCATCACCTCCTTTACTTTTCCATTACTGAAAATGCATGTAACTCCTTAGTGAGTGCAACTTGCTCCTTGAAGACATTTTACCATTGTAGAGCTTTTACTTAGTTCCAATCAGAATTATAAATTACTCTTATTTACCACCACTAAATTTCTGGTTCTGACCAAGACTAGATACCTAAATCTTTCTCAGACTCAAGTCTCCTATACAGTACATTGCTGGTTGCTCTGATATCTCGCAACCCCTGAAAGGCTGTAAAAAGGCTAGATAAATCAGAGTATATTAAGCCGATATCAAAGAACAGACTAATAATGCAATATCTGGGTTCCCGCTTGCAGCAGGCGAATGCTCAAAACCGAAGGGAGGAATAATTCTATTCTTCCAAACACGTCCACATAGGCATTCAGCCAACGCGATCGCCCTTTTCACATCTACACACACATCCAACCTTCAGTGCATACATACTGTATTTTCCTTCCACCCTTCTATGATACAACATTCACACCCACATAGACAACACACATGGTCCCTGAACCTATTAATCGGGTGATGACAGTGTGCCTTAGGCCAGGGACCTTACATCTGTTCACTGCATACGAATCTTTCCCTGAATAAAATTCCATACTCTCGGTTGAGTTCGAACTCAACCAGACACTTTAAATTCTACTGGGTCTACGCTCTGCTACAATGATAATAAATTATTATTGTAATTTTCATTGTCATTATTATCAAAATTATTACTTTTACCATTATGCCCTCTACTTTCCTTATGATAAAAAAAGAAAAACAGTAAAATTTATTTTGTTCATAATCCCATTGTCATACATGGATTAAGAAAAATATGAATCGGTTTGAGGATTGAAAATAATACAACAAAAGTGAAGGACTGAAAACTATATACCTGTAAAAGTACTTTAGTGATAATACAAAATGTTTTCCTTGTATAACAAAACTCTTGATATAGATAAGATCCAGAAATGGATGATGGGAACATGACAAAGGACTCTTGACAGGGACTCTGTACTCTGTCACACAGTTGTGTGAAATGTCATAAATATTGGGCAGATTTCTCACATGCAATTTCGAAGTTTCTCATTTGTATATGAAGCCACTTTGTACAAGGTTGAAAGCCTTATGAATTAGGTTCATCATTAAAGTGTATGTTTTAAGATATGGCTTCATTTTCCCCTTCATTTTCTATTACATGTTGGCAATACTCATTCGACATTAACTTCTATTAAGAAAAACATCTACATTAGAAATGACTGAAGAAAGTGGCATTAATATCATGAATACATCCCTAATTTCTGCTCATTATGTAAAAAGTATTATCTATAAGGAGTAATTATTATCAAGGTGCAAATGTATGATGATCTTATTATGTTACTCATAATTTGTACAAATCTCAGAGCAAACCCTATCTTCATCAATCTTTATGAAAGTGGCCCTGCTGAGGTACAAGTTAGGAACTTAAGTGAACACATTGCACAGAGAAATTTGGCACAATTGACCTCACAAATTATTAAAGCCTCTGAAATATCAACTTTCAGCAAACTTTACAGCCTAAGTTGCTTCAATAATTATATGATATCCCTTTTAGATTTACAAAATCATGACAATATGAGAAAAAACAATAATTCTGAATTCCATATTATGTATTGTTATTAAAGCAATAGCTTTTATTATTGAATAGCCCTGCATCACATATTAGAAGAAAAAAAATCTTAAATGTCTTACATCTTACAAACACACAACAGTTACAAAACATAAGCAATCACTCTTAAAGACTTCCCAATACATTTTACAAAACATGAACTTCGTACAGAAAACTGTGACACTTGTTAAGTGCAAATGTTGAAAGTTTTGCCCTACAGTTCCTAACAAGCAGGTATATAATCATTACAAAAATTTGCCCAAACTTAAAACAAAAGATTTCTTCGTACTAGGGTGCATAGATCGTGTAGGTACAAATAACATTAATTACAATATTCATAAGATTAATATTTCTGGCCCTTGGAGAAATTTATAACCACTTACATAGAGAGGCAGATTTTTTTTTTTTTTCTTACAAGAAAAAATCTAATTATGCTTTGACAAGATGTTGGTACACACAATTTAAAATCTAGGAACAACCTACTTTCACTCATTCAAGATTAAACTCTGACAACACACTTAAAAAAGAAATAGGAAATATAAAAGAAGTATAGGAGGAAAAAATGTATATTCAGGTGATCTACTACAGCACAATCACCCATTGTTAAGATATGATTGCACAAATTTAGTTTACTGTCCAAGATACTATAGGAAGATGTTTAAATGCCACAAGGTGTTTAAAAGTTCCCGTAATATGCAAAGTGTAGCCTTTGGCATTTGAAGAACAGGAATTATTTGTGGCACTGCAAAAGTCCAGCTGCCCATATAGATCAGGTTAGGACTGATATGATCCTATCAGTATAAGTGTTCTATTTACAAATGAAAGTTAAACCATCTGTAGAAATATGGAAGGTGTTCTGTATTTGTTACAAGACATAATAGATAACTCACTGGCTTTCTTATAGATTCAACATTTATTGAGGCAAGTCTGGTTTAAACAGTTTCTATGGCACTCCATAAAAATCAAACATCTGACTGGAATTAAGCACTAGCTGCTTTCGTA